ACAAGGAAGTAACTGAAGTAGATTATCCTACCCAGTAAGGTTATGTCCTCCCAGCCTCACTGCTTGCCTTCCCTGGGGTGGCCCTGTGTCAGTGGATCTCCAGGGGTGTAGGCTTTGGTGCTTTCCTTGGTGGCAGACCCCTGGGGATGTGGGCCTAACAAGTCCCAAATTTATTGCCAACAGTCTTAGTCCAAGTTCTTCATAAGTAGTACATGGTATTTCTGTAACACTAAGGGCATTTATTGATTTAATCTCTTCCTTAGTCCTGTTAATCCCTAACCTGGGGAAACAACCTTTCTCAGGGAGGTGGTCCTGTTTAAAACACATAATGCTAAGAGGGGGAGCAAACCATATATCATATACACCAGGTCCCTTGAAATATAAGCTGTGCAGATGTTTCTTCCCTGCAGCAACTGTGTCAAGCAGCAAGGGTGGACTGGCTTCCAACAAATTCCCCCCTTTTTTATTTTTTAAATGATAGCACGTGTAAATCAGCAGCCACCTCTCAGATTGGGATGTTTAAGACTAGGAAGACCTGTTTGTGACATTGCCAACAGGTCAGTCTGAGGCTTAACCCTATATGGGCTCCCCTTAGTGACCCCTTTGGCAGTTGAACTACCCTTTTACAGGGGTCGCCTAAGACCATCCTGCATATCAGATATTTACATTATGATTCATAACAGTAGCAACATTACAGTTATGAAGTTGCAATGAAAATAATTTTATGGTTGGGTTACAACATGAGAAACTGTATTTAAAGGGCCAAAAGGTTGAGAACCACTGCACTAGAGGGTTTTAAGTAAAAGCATGACATAATCTGATGTAAGTTTTTAGGCATGATCCTTCTAGTTTTAGTGTGGACAACACTTGTAACTAAGTGTGAACTCAGTGATAAGGCTATTGTAGTAATCTATGTGATATATATTACATCTCAGACTAATTGGATCAGTGGAGAGGAGACATGTGGTTGGATCTGGCATGGGTTCTGGAGATAGAATCACCATAATTCATTGATAGTTTAGGAGTAGAGGAAGAGTTAAAAGAAAGAGATTAATCAAGGGATTAAGCAGAAAACAAAACAAAACAAAAATTTCATAGACAAAGACAACAGTATGGCAATTACTAGAAAGAAAGAGGTGGGGGCAGGTAGAAGAGGGTAAAAGGTGGATAAATAGTGACAGCTGAGAATTGATTTTGTTTGGTGACATACAATACATACAATATACAGATTTTGTGTTATAGAATTGTACACCTGAAACCTATATAATGTTATTAACCAATGTCACCCCAATACATTCAATAAATTTCAAAGAAAAAGTTACTCAACCTCCTTCTGATCCATTGCTTCAGCCACGGGCACTGCATGTCCGGAGACCTGACACCTCCAGTGACTCTTGGGGTTCATGACCCTCCCACAAAGCCCTCAGGTTCAGCTACAGGTGCTGTGCAAATCAGAGCTTAGACCTTTTGGGGAGACCAAAAATGGGGAAACAAACAATCCCCAAAGGATAGAAAAGGAGAAATCACCAGAAAAAAGAACTAAATGAAAAGGAAGTATGAAATATGTCAGAAAAAGAATTCAAAGTAAGGGTCATAGAGTTCCTAAACTGGCAGGATAAGAAAATCAATAACTTATGTAAGAATCAAGTGGAAATGAAAAATGATATAGCTAGAATGAAAAACACAATGGAAGGTTTCAAAGAAGACTAGAAGATGCAGAGGACCGAATTAGTGAGTTAGAAGACAGGGTGGAAAAAACACACACCCAATCTGAACAATAATTGGAGAAAAAAAATAGAAATCAGGAGGAGAGCCTAAGAGCTTGGGGACAACATGAAATGAAGTAACATACATATAATAGGAGTGCAAGAAGGACAAGATGAGGAGCAAGGATTAGAAAAAGTATTTGAAGAAATGATAGAAAACTTCCTTGACTTGGGGGAAGAAAAATTTCACACAAGCACAGTCACAAACAAGATGAACCCAAAGAGACCCACACCAAAATCCATGGTAATTACAATGGCAAACATTAACGACAAAGAGAATCTAAAAGGCTGCAAGAGGGAGACAGAGAGTTACCTACAAGGGCTCTCCCATTAGACTATCAACTGATTTCTCAACAGAAGAACATCTGGCCAGAAAGGAATGAAATGAAGTATACAAAGTGATGCAAAGCAAGGCACTGAATCCAAGAATACTTTATTCAACAATGCTATCATTCAAAATTAAAGAGGAAATCAGACCTTTGCAGGCAGAAAATCCCCAAATAACACCAAGTGCAAGTGCAAGCCAGCAATACAAGATATGCTAAGTCAACTATTATAAAAAGAAGAAATAGAAATGAAGAAGGAACACTGGAATAAAGAATAAGAATGGTGACAAAAAAGTACCTATCGATAATAACCTTAAACATAAATGGAATAAATGCTCCAATCAAAAGACATAGAGTGGCTGAATGGATAAGAAAACATGCCCCATATATGTGCTGTCTACAAGAGACCCACCTCACAACAAGGGACTCACACAAACTAAAAGTGAAGGGATGGGAAAAAAATTTTCAGGCAAGTGGAAATGAAAAAGAAAAAGAAAAAAGCTGGGGTAGCAATACTTATATCTGACAAATTAGAACTGAAAGTGACAGCCATAACAATGGATAAGGAAGGCCACTTCATAATACTAAAAGGAGCAATTCAGCAAGAGTATATAACTTTGGTAAACATATATGCACCCAATACAGGAGCACCCATGTATGTAAAAATCTTCTGGAAGATATCAAGGGAGAGATCTACAGCAATACTATCATCTTATGGAACTTTAATACCCCATTTACAGCACTGGATAAATCCACTAAACCAGCAGTTCTCAACCTGTGGGTCACGACCCCTTTGGCCATCAAATGACCCTTTCACAGGGGTCACCTAAGACCATCCTGCATATCAGATATTTACATTATGATTCATAACAGAAGCTACATTACAGTTGTGAAGTAGCAACAAAAATAATTTTATGGTTGGGTCACAGCATGAGGAACTGTATTTAAAGGGCCAGAAGGTTGAGAACCACTGAATCAGCAAAGAAACAGCAATCCTAAATGACTCACTAGATTAGATGGCCTTAATCAACATCTTCATAACATTACACCCCAAAGCTACAGAATATATATTCTTCTCAAGTACACATCAGACATTTTCAACAATAGACCACATATTAGGACACAGGCTAAGTCTCTTCATATTCAAAAAGATGGAAATCATATCAAGCATCTTCTGAGATCACAATGGCATAAAATTATAAATCAATTACAATACAAAAAATAATCAAACACTTGGAGGCTCAATAGCTTTCTACTAAACAATGATTGGGTTACCAAAGAGATCAAAGAAGAAATAAAAAGCATCCTGGAAACAAATGACAACAGAAACACAACAATCCAAAATCTGTGGGACACAGTGCAAGCAGACCTGAGAGGGAAGTTCATAGCTTTACAAGCTTACCTCAAAAAACAAGAAAAAATGGTAAAAATTATCCAACCCACATCTTAAAGAATTAGAAAAAGAGCAACAAGAAAAGCTGAGAGTAACCAGAAGGAACAAAATAATAAAAAATAAATGACATAGAGAACCGCCCCCCCCACACACACACACACATACAAATATAAAAGTTGAATAAAACCAAGAGCTAGTTCTTTGAAAGGATAAACAAAATTGATGAACCTCTAGCTATTTTCACCAAGAAACAAAGAGAGAGAGGAGAAACCAAGATGGTGGCATAGGTGAACACGGGAAATTGCTGCCTACCACAACAAATTCAAAACTACAACTAAAAGACGGAACGG